GTAAAGCTCACTCTGACAAAATAACAGCAACAAAAACAACAATAATAATAATGATATAGTTTCGACCACATACCATGTTAAGGACTTCACTAAAATTATCCCATTTGATGTTCACCACAAGCCTTTAATGGGTGGATACTATCCTTAACTATACTGTTTTAAAGATGAAGAAAGTGAGTCCTAGAGACATTAAATAGATTGTTCTTAGTCATACAGATTGTAAGCAGAAGAACCAGCATTCACACCCAAGTCTATGTGGCTCTTTTTGTTAAATCGTATAGTAGCATCCTCCATGCCCCTCATTTGGCAATTAATCTTGCGGTGAAATAATCTCATAGTGATACCACTGTTTTTACTGTAAAAAATGTAAGTACCTATAAACAACTTAAAACCTTAGGATCCTAAAGCACAGAGATTGTGCAGTCTATATCCTTCATTTCATGGTTGAGAGGACCTAAGGTTAATTGACTTCCCAAAGGTCACAAAGCTATTAACTTGCAAATCCACAGCCTTGAACTCTGGTCCCCTGAGTCACTGTCTGGTAATATTATTTCAGATATTAGAAAACAGTTTTCAGGTCCCTCTAAATTCAAACCTTAGGCCAGAAGGTTTGAATTTTTCACCATCTTGGACACTTTTCTGGTTTTAGCCCAGTTTTCCAATGATCCTATTAAACGAAGACTCTCTGAAGTACTACAGGGGAACAGAAGCCATTCATTCATTCCTAATAGCATTTTTATTGAGAATAATCTTTACATAAAATACCTTGGCGTTCTTAGTAACTGAAAGTTGATCTGTCTTTTGGTTCGGTTGTAGGAATAAAACTGTATCCTCAGGAAATGAAAGGAAAAAGGAGACTGATTTATACAAAGATGGATTTAGATTACTACTGAGAAATGGTCCAAACATTTGGAGAATGTTTGTAGAATAAAATATAGTTGTGGAAAATAATATGTAGACCAAACAGCAATAAAGAAAATCATGTCATAAGTGGGAAAAAATACAAAATGGCATCTTAATTGTAATGTATAGGGACGTGAAGGAATTAGAGTTGTGGATCCTGTAAGGTATAAGGGTTCTTTGTAAGTTTTTGTATTTTTGTGTGTTTCTGCTTCCTTGGCATTATTGATTAAAGCTACAACAAGGACTATAGTGCCCCAAGTGAACATAGCTAGAGAATAGGGCTGTTGGAAGAAGTGGAAGGAGGAGGTCAGAAAAGATGGGTCAGGAGCAGCCTCATGATGGTCTTGTGCATTACACTGAAGAGTTTGGTCTTTAAATTGTGGATAGGTCTTCCGATTGCCATCTGATAAGCTTTAAAACAAAGCACAACAACAAACAAAAATTCTTAAAACCCTGTCATTTCTAGTGATCTGTCTGTTACTTATCCATGGAACCCAACAATAGAAAGTTGATGATCAACTAAAACCCCAGATGCTGTTTTTCACATATTCTTCCAAGCCAGTTTTCCTCAAGCCACAATTGTTTGATTACTTTTTAATTTTGCTATATAAGAATTTCACATTTGTTTTTGCTGATATTTTTCATGTCAGTTCCAGCTCAGCATCGCAAAGTTTAAGAAAATTTGGAGCACTTTCAATGAATCTGTCATGCATAACTATATATTATCTTCAATTATGATAATCATCACAAAAATAGCTAATCACTATTGAGTGTATACTATGAACCAAGCTCTATGACAAATGTTTTATCTCATTTTATCCTCAGAACAGGCCTGCAAAGTGGATATTGTGACATAACCTTACCAACGGTAATTTAGATAACAAATGTCAGTGACAGGGTTCCATCCCAGGGATGTCTGAAGCCAAATCCCATGCTCTTAGCCACTATGCTGTGCCATTTCTGAGCATTGTTTCTCACTTTACCCAAAGCACTAAACTAAGGACAGATCTCTGAGATAATCCACTAGAAAGTTCCTCCCCAATGGACATATTATACAACCATTGATTCATGCTCATTGGATATTATGATTCATCTGATTCATCTGATTGTCAATTTACTTGGCAAGACTATGATGCACCCAACGTTCACTATTTTATTCACAAGAATATCATAAGAGACCATTAAATGCTTTGCAGAATTGAAAAATATGCCCATGACATTCCCTTTATATGCTAACATCTGCATTTTTCATCAATTTTATCTTTTTTTCCCTAAGAAGTATCTTCACCTACATTATTGTCTTCCTCACTAAAGTATCCACCATGGTACAGCTAGAGTTATCTAAACTCAAGCCTATTGTGAATTCCTCCTATTTCAAATATATCTGAGGCCTTCTGTCTTCCCTAGAGGGTGTTCTAACCTGAGTTCCAGGACCCCCAAGGGCTTCAAGAAATTTATAATTTTATTTCAAATTAGTATATATATATATATATATGTGAACTTTGCTCTGAAAAATATTCATAGATTTGTATAAGATTATCAAAAGAGAACTATGATTTTAACATCTCTAAATAATTTATAAAGACAAATTTTCCTAAATATTTATGCAAAACTCTTCACAAGCTAATTTCTAACCCCTAAACTTCGTCCACTTCCATTCTTACCCTTCGATACCCACCATACTCACTCACATACACACACAACACCACCATACTTCCTGTGGTTTCTCAAAATGACATGTGTCTGCTCAGCTCCACACATATGTAATTCTGGGCCTTATTCCTTCTACCCTTCATGAGATCCAATTCATCCTCAAACTTCAGATCCAGTATCATCTTAATAAAACTTTCCCTGACCTATCCGAGCAGCATTAAGTGCTTTCACAGAGCTTTGCTCATACCATGCTTCTAAAGCATTCATCAAATTACTCTAATTATGTCATTATAGATTTATCTACTCCCCCCTCCCCACAACCAACTCCAAGTTGCAGTTACATGGTGGCCATGACCCTGATATAATGGTAACAGCGCAGCCCTCTGACCACTCTGGCCCAGTTTTAACCAGCAGTTAGGGAAGCTCTTCTCCTCCAGAATCTAGTAGTCACTCCATAAATATTGGAATTGGAACTAATGAGTGAGCAAATAAACTGAGCAACAGTATCACAAAATAATGGCTTCTGTTTATTGTGCCTTCATTATTTATAGATGTGCATAAACTTTACTTTTTTTGAGATCCAACAGTGAATAATTTCACATGCATTTAATGAAAGGTCAGTATAATCCTGGCTCTGTTTTAGGGACTGTAGAAGTCCCACAAAATAAGCTTATGCCACAGTTTCTTCCTTTTAAAAACTTGAAGTCCTGTGGGCAGCAGAGACTTAGACATACATGCTTCAACTTAAGACTCACCCAATAGTAATATAATTGTCTGCTTGCCCCCAAATGGTACTGTAATTGCCTACTGAGGAGGCAAAATGATTCAGTCCTCAGAGCCTAAACTTTGAATGCATACAAACCTGAGTGTCACTCTTAAATTTTATGCATACCAGCTATGCAGGACCGAGCAAGTAGTATAAGCTCTTTGAGCTTGGGTTCCATTAACTGCAAAACAAAGATAATGCTTACTTCATACACTTTATGTAGGTAATATATGTAAAAAACATAGTAAGTGTGCAACAAATAATGGCAATGGAGGTAATGCTGGTAGTGAATGTTGATGATGATGATGATAGTGATACAGTCAGCACACTGAACTGTAACTCACTGAGGACAAGGACTATGTTTAATTTATTTTTGAATCCCCAGCACCTACCATAGTCCCTGATGCATAGTAAATATTAAACAAATGTTTCTTAAATGAATGACCAATTACCAAATCCAAGATATTGAAAGCCAAGGAAAGACAGAAAAGAGACTAGCATGACTAGAATGGTTGAGAAAACCTTATTGAGGAGGGAGGTATAAAAAAAAGGTAGATTTTTTTCACAGCTAGAGAAGAGAACAGAAGTTACTGAAGGTAAAAGAAAACAAGCATAACACTAAATTACGTAGTCTATGCCAGGGCTGGGGAGAAGTAAATGTATTTTGTGTGGTAGAAAAAGAAAGTAATGAGCATGTGACATCATTAAATACTGCCCTTAATAATTACTTACTAAAGCTTTACTCTTTGGTACCATGCCTAGAGATCAATAACAAAGACAATAATCCTAAACTTTGATCCGTTTGGAAGCTACAAATTACAGCAAAAACAATATGGGAAAATGTTTCCTTTAGGTAAAGTGTACGGTATAGTGAGAAAAACATGAGCTTTATAAGGGGACAGATCTAGGTTTGAATTTTTGTTTTGCCACTTAACTAACTATATTATCTTGGGCAAGTCACTTACCTCTTGGATCTTCTGTTACCTCTTCTTTAAGATGAGAATTACCATGCCTGTTCCTGATGTGGCACTTAAATACGATAATTCATGGTACCAGGTGTTCAATAAGCACCAAAGCTGCTGTTATTTTTGATAGTGTGAATTAGTGCATTTATGTGTTTGTGCTTAGTCAACGTACACATTTTGGTTCTGTATGTTTTGGGACATGAGCCTACTTGATCTGAGAGTAATTGGGGTTTTTGAAATGGAAATAATCCACAAAAGAACGTGTAATGTGACACCCCTTGCATATTTGTCTCTTCAAAATGAAGAAACAGGGGGAAAAGTTTTGAGTACTGGCATTGGATTAGGTTGAATGCTCGATCAGGGAACTAATAATTTTCTTTATTAGCCACCTGCTGTACAAACTGTCATGCAAATACTGCCTTATGCTTTATGCAAAACATTTGAAAACCCCTGTGACTTCCTTCTTCTGCTTGGATTTTCTTTTCTGTAGTAAAATACGTAATTGAAGTAATTTCAAGTGTGTTTGTCTGTAAACCAGCCAAATATTTTTTTTAAATACTTGAGCTCTATGTTGGATATACAAACTTGTTCTTAGCACTTATTTTATATTAAAGTGTAGATTTTATCCCTTAGTCTTTGAATGGATTTTAGTTTCACAAATGCTAAGGTGTCTCCTATGTCTGTAATAAATGGAAGCTTTTCATTTTATGCAGGTTCTTCCAGGGGACCCAGCCCCCTAACCATGGGAGCCCAGGATACCCTCCCTGTTGCAGCAGCGTTTACAGAAACTGTCAATGCCTACTTCAAAGGAGCAGATCCAAGCAAGTAAGCCTGGCACTGAGTCTGCTGTATTCTCCCAGCTCTATCCTACCTGGGGGGGGGGGGCATCCTAAATATAACTGTCATTTCTTATCCTAAAGCCAAAAAAAAAAAATCCAGTTAACAATAGTAGATGACACACCTAGAATAGAGGAGAAAATTTAATTAGGAATATTAACTCACTGCTTTAAAAAACTATATCAAAAGATCTTACCATCCAGAAATCTTTGATTCAATTTTCGTTACAAGTAACAGAAAACCCTAAACCAACACTGTCAACAATGAAAACTTTCTTGTCTGACAAAAGTAAATATCCAGTTCATTCTTTTATTGTCTTAGTCTTTTCTGCATGGAAATTACCCACATATAAATTGAAACAATGATGCATCAGAATGAGAACATGGAAGAAAAAACACTTTCCCAAAACTCCCAGCGTAGCAAGGGAGTAAGTTATATGTTACCCTTACTAAGCAAGGAAAAACTGACAGGGAAGGCAGGAGTGCAGGAGGGCAGGAAGGCAGGAAGGCATGAAGGCAGCCAGGAAAGCAGGCAAAAAGGCAGGAAGGAAGGCAGGAAGGCAGGAAGGCAGGCAGGAAGGCAGGCAGTAAGGAAGAAAGGAAGAAGTTATAATCACAGCAAAATAAAAATGTTAGGGAAAAATTCATTACCCTCTATTTACATGAGCTTGATTTCACTTAAATCAATACAAACTGACAATCAATACAAACTTGACCTGAATATAATTAAATACTTTTCTTTAATAAGGAATTCCATGGATAGGATTCAGGAAGTCTACGGATTTCCTAAATTATATTGTATATCTTATGTGTGTGTGCATGTGTATGCTTTTTTTTTTCCATAGAGAGGGACTATAGCACTCATCACTTTAACAAAGAGATTCATAATCTAAGAAAGATTGAGTGATTAGTGGTCTACACTGAAAATTAAACACCCCAGTCTAACTGGTTTTCACATGTGTCATTAATGTAATTCCAGGTCTAAATTTGATCAAAAAATAAAGGGCAAACCTAGATGAGAGAAGAATTGCTGTTAATTTTTTTTTTATTTATAAGGAGTAGGGCTTGGAAAACCTTAGTATCTATGGCAATAAGAATGACAGAAAAAATTAAATGTGCATATAGAGCATTAGATTACATTATAAAATTTTTTTGAAACAGTGATAAGTATAATTAGAACTTGGATTATATATATTTCCACATATATTTAAGTGGGAATTTGTATAACTAAGCGTGAATTCTCCTTACACTTCAGAAATACTAGTGTTTTAAACTCTAAATCCAACAATACTGTAGTGGGAAAACAATATAATTAAAAACTCCTTCTTTAACTGTCCTACCCAGCCACTGGGATCTGTCAACCTCATGTCTCTTTAAACAACAACATCTAAGTTTTATTCTAGACCCAGATACTGTAGAAAAACAAACACCACGGGCTCTGCTTCCTCCCATGTCACTTCTCTTTCGTCTTCAAAGCACAAAGGCCATTTGCCACCTCCTCGTATCAATAGAAATTAAAAGCTACCTCACATAGAGCATGTGTCTGAGCTGTTAAAGCAAGTAAACACCACAAGCTTTGCTTGTATATATGCTTTATATATACATGTTTGTTGTGTAGAATCTTCTTGGGACAGAGAATTTGCATAACTTTCTGTTACTCCAGTTCTAAGAACTACTTATCATTGGCCAACCTATACCTTAGAAAATTCAGACTGGCCGGAACTGAGAAAAGCAGGTAGAAACACACTTTTTAAAAAATGAGAGTAGGACCAGGCACAGTGGCCCACGCCTGTAATCCTAGCACTCTGGGAGGTGGAGGCTGGAGGATTGCTTGAGGTCTGGAGGTCGAGACCAGCCTGAGCAAGAGTGAGACCCCGTCTACTAAAAATAGGAGAAAATTAGCCAGGTGTGGTGGCGCATGCCTGTAGTTCCAGCTCAGGAGGCTGTGGCAGGAGGATCACTTGAGCCCAGGAGTTTGAGGTTTTTCAGTGAGCTATGATGACGCCACTGCACTCTGACAGACCAAGACTCTGTCTCAAAAAAAAAAAAAAAGTAGTCAGGAAAATGTGGAGAGAATGTATACACCTGAGTGGAAACCATTGGGAATCACACAAGAATGAATTCTTTTTTGTCTGCTTCCTGATTGGCTTTCATTCATTCATTCACTAATTTATTCAGAGGAACCTAACTGATCTTTCTACTTCCACTCCCCTACCCCATCCCTACCCCAAGTCTATTCTTAAGGTATCATGTCACTCCTCTGCTCAAAATCTTCCTATCTCGTTCAAGTAAAACAGAATGCTCTACAGTGCTCTATAAGGTCCTGCATGATCTGTCCTTCCAGCCTCCAGCCACCTCGGAGGCCACCCCACCTCCCATCTCCATCACCCCCTCCTTGTTCCTGACTGTGCCGCCATCCTTGTCCCCATTCACCTCTTGCGAGCCACACTGGCCTCAAGGCTGTTTCTCCTCCATCGCCCCTACCCCAACCCTACCCCACCCCTACCTCAGCGCCTTTCATTGGCTGCTCATTCTGCCTTCGTAACATCTTCTCCCAGACATCTGAGTGACTCGCCCCCTATACTTTGTTCATGATTCTTCAGCAGCTTTATCAGAGACCTGCCCTGTCCACCCTACAGTCCCCCCCACCCCTCTCGATACTTCCTTCCTCCTTATCTCACTTTTGCTTTCCTTATATCTCTCCTCCCTAACATCTTACATGCTTTTTCTGTTGTCCATTATCTGTCTCTTCCCCCACTAGAATGTAAGCTTTCTTCCCCCATGAAAGCTAGATTTGGGCTGTTTTGTTCACTATTGAACAAAATAGCTTAATACCAAATAGCTTAGCATCCATTCTAGCTTAGAATGGATGAATGAATGGAGTTGAATGACTCACCTATCATTTACAGAATGCCTACTGTGTGCCTGCCATTGTGCTAGATAGAAGATACATTGGTGACTTGTGCATAAATATAATACAAAGTTTACCCTAGAAGTGTAGATACAGTGCAATGGGAATTTTAATAATAAATTTTTAATACCAAGAAGTGGTATGGCAGCCTATCCGTCCCTTGAGGGCCTGTCACAATACAAACCAGGGTTTTCATCCTGGTTCAGTTACCCAGCACACTATGACAAGTGTATGGGGAGGGGGAGGTCTACACCTGAGAGCCTAGTGTCCCATGGCATTCCAATAATGCAGCACTCGAGCCAAATTAATATTAGTACTTTTCCTATACCCTTCCAAGTTAACTGAGCCTTTGACTTGAGGATATATATGGAATCTGTTTTTCTTTCTTTGTTGGTTTCTTTCTTTTTTCTTTTTTTTTTTAGACAGAGTTTTGCTCTGTCACCCAGCCTGGAGTGCAGTTATAGTGTGATTATAGCTCACTGTAACCTCAAACTCTTGAGCTCAGGTTATCCTCCTATCTCAGCCTCCTGAGTAGCTAGGACTACAGGCACTATTTTTTTTATTATTATTACTTTATGTTTTATAGAGATAACTTCTCCTGTGTTGCCCAGGGTGGTTTCAAACTCTTAGCCTCAAGCAGTCCTCCCAAAGTGCTAGGATTATAGTCATGAGCCACAGATTGGAATCTGTTTTCAATTACATTGTCATAATCAGTTATAGTATATCCTGTATGCTTGGTCTATGGAAGATCAAATATATTTTATTAAAATTCTGAAACCTAAAATTTATGAAGAGATCATAAAGTGACACTCTTCTATATTTAATTTCATCTCCAGGCAGTGAATCATTTTAATTGCTCTTCCTTTGTTATTCATTTTCAACAAAACAACTCAAGGTCTGTCACTGGGTGGAAATAAAGTCAACCACAGCATCAAATAAAGAAGTGATGCAGAAAAAAGCATTTGGATTTGTTTTTGCCTGTGGTTCCCTCTCACACTGTATCAAAGCCATTTGATTTCAGACCATACACTGGAAACAGAAATCTACCACCTTAATTGCTATGTACTGTGATACATAATCCATTCAAATGCCTCTTTCTCTGAATATTCAGATCACCTGCAACAGGTATTCTGACATCTGAGTCTTTCTCCACAGCTCATGGGCACAGGCAGAAAATTCTTTGACCTTCCATACTGGCTGGGGAAACATATCTCCTGTTATTAGTTCCTTCCTATTTAAACAACCTTGGTGCTAAAAAAATAAAGGTCAAGGATTAATTCTCTTATCCCCTAGAAAAACTTAGGTTTCTCTGCTGTATCCTATCCTCTTCTCATCATATTTTAATTATTTATTCAGTATCTGTCTCCCTGTTTAAACTAGAAATGTGCACAAAGACCATGCTTGTCGTATTTGTCATGAGCCATTTTAGCACATTACGTGGTGCCTGATTTATCATATAGGCATCCTCTATATACTTGTTAAATGTATGGATTTATTTTAAAAACATTTTATTGAGTTCCTACTCTGTTCTGAGTTCTAACTTAGGCACATTTCTTTCCCAGAGCCTAAGACACGGTACTTGCCTTCAGAGCAGTAAATAAGATGTACAAAAATCTAGAACATAATTCTCTAAAAAAATCTGTACATGTGTCCAGGGCAACCCAGAAAAAGGAAAAACTAAGGAAGGCTGGATAGAGAGGATATTAAGGAAAGCTTCAGAAAGGCTTTCCTTTGAACTTTCTTATAATGGAAAAGGATTTTGCCTAGTACATAAGCCAGTGAAAGAGGATTATAAATGAGAGAAGCTGGATATACATATATATATATATATATATATATATACACACACACACAGAGGTTATGCTTGAAAAGAGGGCTCTGGGCTTAGTTTTCAAAGCAGTACATAGAAGTCACATTTTATGGGAAGGATGCATTTCTGATGACCTCATGATTCAAATTCAACATTTCCTGACCAAAATTGGCCAGTGTTCCTGTAGACCAGATCATGTGGTGCTGCCTATGGCAATAGGGAAAACCCAGTTTATAAGTCACTTGGCCAGGTGGCTTCAATTTTCTGTTCTTTTTTTTTTTTTTTTGAGACAGAGTCTCAGTCTGTTTCCTGGGCTAGAGTGCCGTGGTGTCAGCCTGGCTCACAGCAACCTCAAATTCCTGGGCTCAAGCAATCCTCCTGCCTCAACCTACCAAGTAGCTGGGACTACAGACTTGCATCACCTTGCCTGGCTAACTTTTTCTATTTTTAGTAGAGACAAGGCCTCACTCCTGTTCAGGCTGGTCTTGAACTCCTGACCTCAAGCGGTCCTCCCACCCCAGACTTCCAGAGTGGAAATTTTTCTGTTCTTGACAAATATTTCACTTGTGGGTATTCACATGATTTCAAATTTTATTTGTAAAGTAAGCATTTATTCATATTTCCATATCACATTGTTTTTAATTTTCATAATTCAAACTCACAGGAAATGTAGCCACCTTGCATACTGATAGGAACAATCATTAAGATAAAAAAAAAAGATTTTCCCTGAGTATAGAAAAGATTGTTTATAGATAAAATATCAGGTCAACTTAGACACCATATAGATTAATATTAATAAATCAGCAAAGGTCTGACTCTGACAGTCAAGGTGCAGAAATACAATTGTGAAGCCTCAGTGCTTCTTCTATTGGACTATATGGACTGCTTCTCTCATATTCTACCCAGCACTGCAAGCCCTTTGGAGGCAGGGTCTGTCTTGCTCATGTTTCAATTGCCTCTCTGCTCAAAAAAATAAAATAAAATAAAATAACATCTTGCATAGTTAGGAGTGAATAAATATTTGTTGACTTAATAAATGCCACCTCCTCCCCTGATGTGCTTTCAAAAAAGGAACTTTGTCCCCTACCAAGACACCACTTAGATCTCATTTTGAGCAATCTGGAAAGGAGTCTGAGAAGATTCCCTACCAGTTAAAAAACATTTGGGTCACCCCTGCTAACAACAATATACAGAGTGATGATAGGTGCTGCAATCTAATTTTACAAGTGCTCTAATTGTTGTGTTCTTCTAGAGCTGCTAAATAAAATCCTGCATGTCCACATATTGACAAACAGCAAAAGTAGACTCAGCTGGAGGGGCAGTCCAGGCTCAGAACCAATTCAGCACTCATAAATGAACAAGGTTGATGAATCTAAAAGGTAGAGAAGAAAGACAGCAGTGTGCACCCAAACTAGGAGATCAGCAATACTGTCCAGGGGAGATGATGGTGCAAAATTCCAGAAACCAAAATTCTCATTCAAAGCAGCACAAAGTGATCAATTTAACATCTGAGTAAGGGAGGGACACATGGCAACTTTAAGAAGCTCAGCTGTCCCCTACTACTTCCCCCAGCCCAGGATTATACATACAAGGCCATAGCAGCTCCTCACATGAGCTATTTTGGATGTGAACCAGAGACAACCTCACCTAAACCAGGTGTGTCTCATCAATCACAGATTGATACAGTATACAAGATACCTATGGGACAAAATAGAGTCCCCATGCTCAGATATGAGCAAAGTGTTCATTCATTAACCTCAGTTTCCCTGGAAAGTTCATTCCCTAACTTAGAACTGAAGAAATTCTAGAGTCAGTTATCCCGATGTATAGGGAAGTCATAGAAAATCTCACTCATTTTAAGTATCTACTGTTTCCCAAAGAATAAGTCTTGGGAAATTTCTACTTTTGGCCAAGGTAGAGTAACAGACCAATTTACCCTCCTACCTCAAACAACTCAAAAATGGACAAAATGCATGAAACAATGATTTGCAAGACACTGGACCTCAGGTGGAGGACAGTGATCCCTGAGAGGCGAGGTGTGCTATGTTGCTCCAGCTTACTTCCTTGAGAGTTTCTAGGCATGACATAGGGAGAGCCGAACAGACTTCCATCTGTTCTTGGGGAGGCGTCTCACTGAGGCACTCCACTACAAAAGTGGCTGAGGGAGGTGCCAGAGGAAGCTAAAGCTGGGGGCAGGAGGTACTGCTGGCCACCATGCACTGCAGAAGCTGGCGGTAAAAAAGGTGTAACCATGGCAGGAGCCTGGAGCCAGAGAACCCAATCTGTATTGCAGGACTAGGCACTGGGACAGCCCAGCCATTTGTACTGCATGCGCCGTATGATAGGAAAGCTGCCTGGCAAAGTCACGTGGGTTGCAAAACTCTAACTCTTGGGATGCCACACACACTGCAGGAGCTACACACAAGCCTCCTGCACTGCAGGAGCCTGGCACTAGATAAACCCTGTGCACTGCAGGAGCCTGCATTGCAAGCGTGCTGGAATGGAAAAGGAAAACCCCTTCTTCCTGCAATGTCTCGAGAGCACCCTCTATTGACAGAATTCAACATGTGCCGGTTGGCAAAGAAAAAATGTACGTAAAGGACCTGTTAATTTTCTCAGAGCAGGCAGTCAAGGTTGAACTGGAGCTTAGAGGCAATAAATTGATTTTATGTAGAAATTGACACAGCGATTCTAAATTTCATATGAAAATGCAAAGGACCTACGATAGGCAAAAGAACTTTGAAAAAGAACAAAGTCCTCAAAGTTGGATGACTTACATTATTTGATTTCAGAACTACGATAAAGCTATAGTAATCAACAGTTTGGTATCAACATATACTACCAAGTGTTGGAGAGACTGTGCAAGAACGAAACTCTGTCATGCACAGCTGTGTTTCCCACTTTAGAAAACAGGTGGGCAGGTTCTTTAAAAGGTAAAGGTACCCCTGTCAACTGAGTGATTCAATGATTCCACTCCTCTATACTTACCAAGAAAAATGAGGGCCTATGTCTGTACAAAGACCTGTACACATATATTCACCATATCTTTATTTGTAATAGGCAAAAACCTATAAAGAACCCAAATGTTCTTCAGTAGGTCAATGGAATTTTTTTAGACTGTGGTATATTCATACATTACACAGCAACAAAAAGGAATGAACTATTGTTGCACACAGCTACATGGATGAATCTCAAAATAATTATGCTGAGTGAGAAAAGCCTGACCACTCCCACACACAAAACACATACCTTATGATTCTGTTGTATAAAATTCTAGAAAGTGCAAACTCACATATGGTGACAGAAAGCATGTTAGCAATTGCCTGGGGATGGGGAATGGAAGGGCAGGAGAGAGATTACAAAAGGCATGAGAAAATTTTCAGGGATGATGGAAATGCTTCTTATTTTGATTGGTTGAGGGTTTCACATCATACAATCTTGTGGAATTTTATACTGTAAATAAGTGCATTTTATTACATGTCAATTATATCGTGATAAAGCCCCATTTAAAAAAAAAAAGATTATTCTTCCTTTCAAACTAACATCCCATTGTGTTAACTTACTTGACTGATTTTACAATTTTGACCAAATTGATAAGTTAATGGAATGAAGAGCTACTTAAGTGGGAACCAAAAACTTTACCTCATGTGTACATGCAAGAAAATGCTCAAGGTGTTAGTCATAGAAGAACCAAAGTAAAGAACCAAAGTAAATCCCAGTAAACAGCATGATAACAGTGTGCAATTTAATATCTTCAAATGCACTGCGAAAAATTCAGGAATCACAGTAAGAGAATAATCACAGCAGATGATTCTATTCATAAGGTAAACCTGTAGACGTTTCCACAGAAAGAGAAAAGCTGTACTTTTCTGCAACAATGTTAAACATCAGAAAAGATGAAAGGCAGGCTCTTACAATTCTACTCTCAACTATGAAACCATTTCCAATTTATCTGAGGGAGGTGTCAACTCAATGGTTAATACATCAGATTTCTCTTTCAGCTCAAAGCACATTTACCAAAACAGGCACTTTTCTGATGTATTAACCGTTGAGTTGGCACCTCCCTCAGATAAATTAGAAATGGTTTCATAGTTGAGAGTAGAATTGTAAGAGCCTGCCTTTCATCTTTTCTGGTATTTAACATTGTTGCAGAATTTTTTTTCCACAACTGTTTTGATTCAAACTGTATTGACCTGGGTTTCCTCTCTCTTTCCTCTTGTGTGTTTTGATATGCCAGATGTATTGTTAAGATTACTGGAGAAATGGTATTGTCCTTTCCTGCCGGCATCACCAGACACTTCGCCAACAATCCATCCCCAGCTGCTCTGACTTTTCGGGTGATAAATTTCAGCAGGTTAGAACACGTCCTGCCAAATCCCCAACTTCTCTGCTGGTAAATATGATTTTGCATAAATTTTTTAGAGATGTTTGTAACTTAGCATTTTGTACTTAGATGAGCAGTATACGTAGGCAAGAGAGTAGCACTGTAGTGAAATTACTACCATTCATAAAGGCTAGTAGATTCAGATATAGAACCTTTACCAGCTGTCAAAGTTTTCTGTGGGTGATTGTGTATGTATATGTGTAACTGTATATGCACTTATGTACTTTAATGGCCAAATATCTCAAAGAGTGCTTAAAGAGACATTTAGAGTAATAAAATATGTATTAGTGACAAGTTACTCATTGTGTTTTACTTATTATCAGTAGATAATGGATAAGAATGGTGGGGAATGAGCCCAATAACAGGAATAAAATCCTTTTGTTGTATTAACTTCTTTTTAAATCAAAGGATATTTGAACTGTGAGCTACTCTTCACATGAGCTTGAAAATCAATTTTTAAAACATAATTTCATTGTAATAATTGTTTTGATGGAACTTTACATGTATGATATCTAAGAAGCTCGTGCAAATTTATTTATATAAATAGACTTTTCACATTTTCTATTTAGCCTGAATATGATGTCTTTATTATGCATCATAGTCACACATACATACATACATGCACTTAAAATGATCAATTATATCCAGTTAATTATTTGCAATGGATGAGGCACAGTCATTCTTTACTGCTTCTTCTCCATCGTGAAGTCCTGATACTCCATCTAAAAACTCTCTCTGCAGTGGCCTTTCTTTTTCCTTTACCACAGCCTCCCTTGTCCAGGTGCCCACTGTCATTTCCCTGGACACTGCAATTGCTTCCCTCCTTCCCTCTATGAATCCAATCTTGTCTCTCTCCAATACATTCAAACAGCCAGATGGCTTTTTATGCAGTAAATCAGGTCATCTTCATTCATAACCCACCTGGCCCAGAATCTAAGCTTGTTACCATTGTTACTGAGGCTCTGAGTCATCAGTACACCCTTGCTGCCTCTCTGTTCTCTCTCATAGTCCCCATATCCCCCCCCTTCCTGCCTGACCTGCCAATCTCAGAAACAGGCTGAGTCCCCTCCCACAGCAGGGCTTTGTAGTGCTCCTTTCCTCTGCCTCCAATACCATCTCCATCCTTCTTCCTCCTGGCTCCCACTCACCCTCCTCATCCTTCAGGACTCAGCTCCACTCCACCTTCCCTGACCATCCCATTCTCCTCCCACACCCACCCACCAGCCCCCAACTAAATCATGTCTCCTTGTTATTCTCTCTCAAAGTACCCTATTCTTTTCCTTTGTAGCCCTTCCTACAATCAGTAGTTATACATCTAGTCGTGTTTCTTCATTTATCAATTTCTCCCACAAAACTGTACAAACCATGAGGGAATGGAACGCATTTTTTAGTTTACCACTGTAACCCCAGAACCTTCCACTGTGACTGGTGTCTAGTAAGGACTTGAATAATATTTGTTGCATGAATGAACAACTCGATCATAATGCAAAGAATTTGGTCAAGCCAGATGTGTATATAGAAATAACTAAAAGTTGTTGGTATTTGGAATCTGGGTACCAATTTAGTCAGTCATTCTCTTGATTGAATGAGAATTCTTAATTCCAGTGGTGGTAAAATAGTCACAGGTATTTCCAGTGATTACCAAGTTCACCTCCTCCCCCTGGTCCTTGCTGTGGCTTAACTGGCTATCTTGACTCCAGGTTTAAAAGCATAAAAGAAGTGATCATCCATTAAGATGAAAAATAAGTGTAGAATGATTGAGATTGGAGTTCAACAAATTCTTACTTCAGTTTCCCTCCATGTTTTCAATATGCACACTGAGTCCATTAATTTTATTTTTTGAGGTTCCTCCATCTGAAATTAGGAGTTATGTGCCCATATGTCACCAGTTTGTTTGTAAATATGATTGATGTGATAGTTACAGCTTTTATTGCATTTTCAGGCAGTTATATTGCCAAGTTCTTAGACATATGTGCAAAAGTTATATACATATATCAATGTATCAGTCTTATGAATTGAATTGAATTAAATATCACTAAAAATGTTTTTGCTTGACAAAATATTCTATGAACCCTTAAATTATTATTTCCAAAAAACAAAAAGTATCCTCATTAATTTAGACCTTATTGACTCTAAATATGTGATCATTGTAACAGGGCTGTAATGGGTGACACGCTAGTCACATATAGCCTGTTTGGTTTTGTTATGCAGTTTCACTCCACCACAATCCCTAATTTTTAAAAGGCAGTGTTGACCAAGCATGATCGAACATTATTCTCAATTGCTTTAGCGTCTCATCATCTTACACTCAGCCCATATTCTCCTTTATGCTTACTGAAGACATCGTTAGGTTAGCACCATGGCCTCCAGAAACATTCGGTTTGCAATCCCTGTGACAGGGGCCAAATTGAAATTTACATCTACTTTTGCCTTACAAAGGGGGGTTGCTTGTAAAAGATATTTGGGAACCATTGTCAACTCACGTATGAGACTGAAGAATCCTTCAGACTTCTTGAGCATTTAAGAATTCTGTCTCTGTGTAAGCATTTGATTGGCAAAGCTTTCTTGAATATTTATTAAAGTACGTTCTCTGAGAAATTAGCACAGACATCTGACTTAGCTTATTTTGCTATCAAACTCAGCAAATTCATTTCTTTAAACATAGTATAATTGAGATTTTCCCAATGATTCAGATCTACTTAGTATAAATTAATGACATGTTGTTAGATATTAATTCCTAACCTCAGCTTTGGTATAGTGGGAAGGTATAACCTGTACAACCGACCGGGGCTGGAATCTGGACTCTGTTACTTATTAGCTGTGTGATCTTAAGCAAACGACTTAATTTCACAAACCCTCTATTACCTTATCTCCTGCCTCCTTGCATAGCAACAGCTCAGGCAGCTTGGAGTAATTTAGATGCTTGTAAATAAAAAACAGCTTGGAAAGCCCTTAGTTAGCATCCTTAGCTCAGCTTAACCAGGGAAAAGATCTCAAGGGCCAGGAGTCTTTTCCATTCCTTTCACTATTTGCATAATCAAGAGCTTTGCTTTGTCCTCAATAACCTATATCAGGTTACAGCAGAAATACAGCGGTCACACTGAGACTGGACCACTCCTGCCTGACAGACCAAAAATTGCAGTTTTAAGGCCCTGATGTTTTTTGACTCAGTTTTCTTAATTTATTTGACTTGTGGAGTCTGAATCATAGCAACTTACTGTTGACCTGCCTTTCTCATTTTTCACTATCACCCTCTCTCTTCTCACCCTCTAGTTCTCTTTTTATAACAAGTTTGCCCATCTTTAAAAACAAGAATAATAATTCTTACTCTGCAGGCAGGGCACAGTGGCTCACACCTGTAATCCTAGCACTCTGGGAGGCCGAGGCAGGCGGATAGCTCAAGGTTAGGAGTTCGAAACCAGCCTGAGCAAGAGCAAGACCCCGTCTCTACTAAAAATAGAAAGAAATTAATTGACCAACTAAAAAAATATATAGAAAAAATTAGCCAGGCATGGTGGCGCATGCCTGTAGTCCCAGCTACTCTGGAGGCTGAGGCAGGAGGATCACTTGAGCCCATGAGTTTGAGGTTGCCATGAGCTAGGCTGATGCCATGGCAATCTAGTCTGGGCAACAGAGTGAGACTCTGTCCCCCAAAAAATAATAAAAAATAATAATTCTTACTCTTAATGGTAGATTTTAATGAAATAGTTCATAATGCCTAGCACATAACAAGTGCTCAAGAAATTATAACTACTATTACTGTATTATATAGGATATTCTCAAAGTGAAGTGTCAGTAAAGGAGTTGTGTGTCAAGTTACGGAATCACTTGGGGATTCATTACATGGGAAGTAAGCAGATACTTTGTGTACTTTTGGCTAATTGTTTTTATTATTGAGACAAGCATTTGCAAGAGAGATTGGGAAAGTGTACTGTGGACAGGCCTCTGAGCAAAGCTAATGACTTCGTAGGGACAGAAAACTCTTTAGTTTGTCTCGACTTCACGCTTCTTCTCTGTTGTAACTACCACGATTACTATCATTTAAACTCTGACATCATCTTGTAAGTGAAGTGACATTTCTTATGAGTTAGATACACTTGGATGAAATACTGTGAATGCTAAAAAGGTAGTATAGTAATTTTAGTATCACTCTTTTTTCCTTAGTGATAAAGACCATGTTTACATTTGGCTAAATATTGAATTGGATAATTTCTAAGAAACTACTGGTCAAGTCAATTCAAAAGAAAATCAATCTATTCAGCTCCTTGATTGCACTAACTGGCTAATTTAGATGAAAACTGTGCTGATGTAGAAAGGACTATTAAGTTTGAGTTAATAAATTATTCACTCTTTAAAGCAGCCAATTATCATCATTACTGGGTACTCACTGAGATTTATAGCCATACAGTAGCTCCTCCCCATGGGTCTTAATCTATTAGGATAACACCATTCAGAACTGTATTTGTGCTAAAACTACACTACTGCTAATACATTCCTAATAATCTCTACAGATTGTCAAAGACAGATGTAGAAATCAGATGAAAATTCGCTAAAATGCTTCTTGTATAGTTTACATATGTTATAAAATGCTACTTAATCATTTTTTCTTTCCAATTGAATAGTGATAATACACAAAATGATGCCAATACCAAGGAATTCTGGGTAAACATGCCAAATTTGATGACTCACCTAAAGAAAGTGTCCGAACAAAAGCCCCAGGCTACATATTATAATGTGGACATGCTCAAATATCAGGTAAGCCTATTTATATGGTCAGAATGTCTCTTACACATACAAAGTTATATTCTGAAGTACCTAATATTAAATAAAAGTAAATAAAGTAACATTTCTTTTAATATTGTTTAAAAGCTATAATTTATAAGAAAATGGAAACTTTAAAAGGCTACTTGGGGACTAATGACAAGAATATATTCACACATACCCTTAATAGTTTAAACTTACAAGAAAATATATTAAAAATCAGAGAAACATGCCACAAAAATGAAATTGCCAAACATTACATCAATTAAGATTATAAATATTGATGAATTAGATGACTATAATTTTGTTAATGAGCATTATTGTACTAAAAACTCTTATTTAAAATGATTAAATATAAGCAATCTTTTTTCTGGTAAAACAGTGCTATGAAACAGTTCTAATAAAACATTAAAAAATAACTCAATAGTAAAAGAATATTTGATACAACACAATACAAAATATGAGAGCTTTCCTTCTGTGTATGGGATTGCCTTTACCCCAGATTATTACTGATCTAGTGAATAAGCCTATTCAAGTCAGAATTCTACAGTGCCTGAATCTCCCATTGATTTCCAGCACTTGGCCTCCTAGACTTTTTTAATTGATAAAATTGTATGTATTTATCATGTACAACATGATATTTTGAAATATAAATACATCGTGAAATGACTAAATTTAACTGATTAACACATGCATTAACTCACATGGTTACCATTTTGTGATGAGAATACTTCACATCCACTTAGCATTTTTCAAGAATACATTGTAACTATAGTAACCACATTATACAACAGATGTCTTGAACTTACTCCTCCTGTCTAGATAAAATTTTTGTGTCCTTTGATCAACATCTCCACAGGAGCCCCCACCCCCCACCCCATCTCAACAACCCCAGCCCCTGGTAGCCACCATTCTAATCTCTACTTCTATGAAAGCAACTTTTTTAGATCCATTTAAGAGTGAAATCATGCAAAATGTCTTTCTCTGCCTGCTTTATGTCACTTAATAATTTTAATGTATTCATAATAATTTTTTGTGGTTAAATATGTTCAGTTTTTTTTAAGATGAGGAAAGTTGTACTTTAATAAAAATCAATGCATCTCAAACATGACTGAACTTTTTGATCACCAAAGAGCTTATAAACAAATGCTGATTCTGAATTGGTGCTAAAAAGAATATATGTATTTAAAATATATATATATATATGTTGGGCCCTGACACTCCCAGAGATTTTTATTTAATTGGCTCAAGATTCAACTCACATATTCACATGTCTGTATTTTTTATAAGCTCCCCAAGTGATTCTAAGGCACCCTATGATTTGAAAACCATTTAAATTTTTGTAAGGAGACCATTGAAAGTGGAGTATCTATATGATGATACATTTTACAAAAGCACAAATGAATATAATTTTTTTCCTATGAAAAGCAGATCACTTAAGCTTTGGACATTATAGATAATATTAATAAATACATAGTATGGCATAAATTCATTGCTTTTATAATTAAAATATAATAGAAAACACATGATATTTACCTTTTTTCCCAAAATATTTCAACACATTTAGTGTCTGTTTTAAGCTGTGAGGGAAATGAAAAGGAGTAAGAAAGGGAAACTCTAAATCTCATTTTTCCTTAAATGAGAAATTAAATTTCAGGGCACAGGCATGGATGGTTCTCACACCCAAAGTGTGAAAATCAAACTGTAGTTGTTTTCCTTCATGAACTCTATTTACAAACACTGCATCTACATCTTCACTTCAAAAACAAAAGTGTTTTAAAACTTTAAAATCTTGTGGCATTTTTTTTTTTAGTCTCCATATTTGTTATTAAGTAAATCTACAAAGTAGAATTCACCTATTGCAATATGAGCTTTGGGTAAAGTATTAAAGTATAGGCAAGAGATTGAATTTCGGGATCAAGTGGGCTTTCTGCTTGCCACTGACCTTGGGCACTTAATCTCCTGGAACCACAGTTTCCTCATCTGCAAATAAGGGCAATAATGATACCTACCTAGATATTTTACAGGCTGTCATAAGGAGCTAATAGCCTAATATATTTCAGAGTACTTTGTGAAATGTAAATAGCCCTAGACCTGTCATTTTGTTTTAAAGTGTGCTCTGAAGAATCCCCTTTGTTGCTGTTTAGCTGTGTTTTTGTTGGTTTTCAACAATGCAAGGAATGGGAGGGGGCGTGTGCACAACTAGCATTGTGTGGAATTGCCCTCAAATCTCAGCGTATTTAGTTTCTGGCCACCAACAGCATTCTTCAGGAATTGGGACAATCAAAAACACACCTTCATGTATCCAGAAAGCACCTCCCCAGGTAGGGGAACTATTATTGAGAACAACAGTTGAGGATGGAGTGCAGAAAAGGGGTGGGGGAGGGTGGCCCTACTCTGTTGTTGATCTACTTTAGATAGTACATTTCTAAATAGAAGTTCATTTTCAGAAAGGAATATGCTGCTAACAATATTTAAGTAGCCAAAATTGTCATCAAAAACCTAATCTGTCATATAAAAGAACCCATTTCTGGTCTGGTTTCTGCAGCAACTGCTCCTGCCTTGTGAATTCAACCTACCTTAAGGCACCTTCTTGATGGTGACCATATGTGCAGGCATTTCCTAGATAGTTGTTTATATACTTCAAAATCAGCAAAACTCACGCTTCATGGATAAAAATCCCAGGACATAGACACCACCTACATGGTCCCTGCAGTGTGCTTATGAAAGGAGCTTATGAAAGGAGACTCTCCTAGAGATCTGTTCACCATCACAATGAATAATCAAGAAATAATAACACTGGGAATTTTTCACTGTGGACCCAGAATGCAAGTCAATATCATTGTCTTTAGATAAGAAAACTTTTTGTTGATTCTTCAAATGTGGCTTTTTCTTGGTCAAACTCACAGTTGATTCTAAGTAGAATTGACAGTAGAATGTAGCACTTCCTCTAAGAGGACCCGTGTTCAAGTCCTCACTTTGATAAATTTCAAAGAAGTAATAATCATCAGCCTTGTCTAACTCCCTGGTTTGTTCTGAAGAGCAAATATGGTAAGAATATTAATTGATAACATTTAGTAAAGTGTTAATCCCCTACCATGTGCTAGGCACTGAGTTGAGTGTTTCACATAAAACATCTCCTTCAATCTTCCTGACAAACCTATGGGTAAATATTATTGCTCTAATTCCCATTTGGCAGAGGAAGGAATAACTGAGGCTCAGAGAAGTCTAGTAACTCAGCTTGTAGGTGGCAGAATCAGAACTCACACTCAGGACTGTCTGGCATCATGGTATCAACTCCTAAACAGTGTGCTGCCCCACCTATGAGTGCATTGTAAACTCTAAAGTTCTATAGAGACTGTAGTAGTTGATTTTACGTTTTTGATCTGTAAGTTCACCCAAAGCACCCAGCTCTCTCACATGACACCCTTCATGGTGTTTTTCACCGACAGCTGTCTTGTGAACAGCACAGACAACATCATGACATTATGATCTCCAAGAACGTTCCTGCAGTAGATAATATAACTTCTAGTTTTGTTTCAGATTAGTGGTTAGCCTTAAATATTCTCTTTCCTGCCATTTGGCAAGGTGTCCGCCCAGGGCATACAGTCCACGCCTCTGAATCTGGCGGTGAATTGGCGGTGTGAGCCTGCAAGCACTGACCTGCGCATAGATTACAAATACAACACGGATGCGATGACCACCGCCGTGGCCCTCAACAATGTGCAGTTCCTGGTCCCCATCGATGGAGGAGTAACCAAGCTCCAGGCTGTGCTCCCGCCGGCCGTCTGGTAAGGAGCCATCAGTCGCCTTACTCTTTACCAAAGGTCTCCGTCTGGTGGGAGGGGTCCCAGACTTCTTAGCTTTTGTGTTTCCCACAGGGGGAGATCACAGCAGGCCAGTATATTAGGGGTCAGGGTAGGAAACAGAAACTGCTGTAGCTATTTGAAGCAAAAAATAATTTAACAGGGATTTCAGTGCTTGCACAATGGTGGAAGTGCTAGAGGAACAGAATTCAGGTTGGATCTCCAGAACTCTGCAGAACCAGCCTGCCACAACCCGGGGCAAGGAGAGAAATTAGAAGGCTGCCAGTGGAATTACTGAATTCAAGAACCAACATCTGTGACTCTGATCCAAAGGCCAGAAAGCTCCTGCTGGCACCTCCTTAACTGCTTCTTAAACCCCACAAAACTGGAGTGTGGACTGGACCCCTGTTGTTAGAAGATGCCTACTCCTCTGAGTTAAGTTGCTGGTCAGAGGAAAACAGCCAGGAAAGCGGGAGAATGGCCTCTGCCTTCCTTCTGTCTTCTAAATCTCAACCCATGCATGTGATTGGTGGAACCTAACTTGCATCTAGGACCATAACTACAAGGGAGTCTGGGAAACGTAGTGTTTCATTTTCTAGCACACCAGGGAATGTATGGAACTAGAAACTTAATAGTTACTAAGTACTGGTGGCATCTATTATAAAGGACTTGCTCTGGCCGGGCGCTGTGGCTCACGCCTGTAATCCTAGCTCTTGGGAGGCCGAGGCGGGCGGATTGCTCAAGGTCAGGAGTTCAAAACCAGCCTGAGCAAGAGCGAGACCCCGTCTCTACTATAAATAGAAAGAAATTAATTGGCCAACTGATATATATATAAAAAATTAGCCGGGCATGGTGGCACATGCCTGTAGTCCCAGCTACCCGGGAGGCTGAGGCAGAAGGATCACTCGAGCCCAGGAGTTTGAGGTTGCTGTGAGCTAGGCTGACGCCATGGCACTCACTCTAGCCTGTGCAACAAAGCGAGACTCTGTCTCAAAAAAAAAAAAAAAAAAAAAAAAAAAGGACTTGCTCTGGAAAGAATGCTCTAGCTTTTCCTTATGACCGTAAGGAGCAAAAAGTAGAATAATTTTTTAAAACTGAATGTCAGCCTGATGACACTCCCAACTTAAATTACCTGAATTAATTGATTAACTAACATTTTCCATCTACCTGTTTCAGCAGATGTGTTCGAAAAAAAATTTTTTTAACTCGCATTATCCTCAAAATGTTTATCTCACAATGTTCAAGCTAGTTACAATAAGGAAAGGGAAATGAGAGAATTTATGTGTGCATGGGAAGAGAGAGAGAATTTTAAATTGCAGCTAAACTTTCTAAGATCATTTTTAAAAATTAATATTTTCTGGAAAAAACATGGCATCCATTAAACAAAAAAACCCTTGCTTATATGCAAAAGCCTTTTACCTATTTTATTCTTAGGAATGCTGAACAACAAAGAATATTGTGGAAGATTCCTGATATTTCTCAGAAGTCAGAAAATGGAGGTAATGCAATCCCAGGCTTGTTTTACTTAATATTTACCTAACCCTGAAATAGCTTTTAGGTATTAGCCAGCTTTACCCAAAATACATGTGGCACAAAAAATAAGCAAAATATTTCACATCATTTCTGCATTTACTTATTTCAGTCAATAAAGGCAAATAATTCTTCAATGAATCCTCTTCTTCCCCTTTTCTACCAAGACTCCACATCAAGCAGACAATCCTCAATGCAGAGACAAGCTTGTAAGGAAGCATGTTTCCATCCTGAATCAAATCCCACACTCCCTGGTAGATATTTTTCATTTTCCTCTGATATTAATCATACATTGGAAAATACACGGCCTTCCAAGTAGCATGCCCCCATATTTTGAAGTACCATTTTGCTGAATTACACTTTTACCAATGTGCAAATAGAGTCACTCATAATATTTAATGATAAATTTTATTCATCACCATTTTGTCACTGAAGCATATACTGTTTCTTAGTAAGTATGATTTTGTATGTCAACTTTTTAATAAAATTTCCAAAATTATACCAGATTGTTGAGTTGACTGTTAAAATAATATTTTTTTTTTCAGGAGTGGGTTCTTTGTTGGCAAGATTTCAGTTATCAGAAGGCCCAAGCAAACCTTCCCCATTGGTCGTGCAGTTCACAAGTGAAGGAAGCACCCTTTCTGGGTGTGACATTGAACTTGTTGGAGCAGGGTATCGATTTTCACTCATCAAGAAAAGGTTTGCTGCAGGTAAGTAGGTATCTTGAGTTTCATTAGCAAAGTTATGTTGTCTTACTCTTCCTTAAGAAGGAATAGGTTGTCATTTTCTCATCTTTTGCCTCCTCCTTTTCCCCACTCCCAACATTCATTTTAATTAGAAAGCAAACTAACTGTTGAATGAAGGAAAAAATAGGAGAATAAACTAGAAATCAGAAAGCAAGAAGGCTCTATCTACTTCTCCTGGCTTTATATCTTATGTGGGGATGACCAGTTGTTCCCATTATATTGATGTGCATACTGAGGTTAATGAAGTAAATCCTACTTTTGTTTTACTGATAAACAAATGCTGTTTGCCTTTGAATTGATCTCCTCCATGAAAACTTTTTGTTCTCCAACAGGACTTCATAGATTGTAGACTTGTCAGGCTTAGCTGAAATCTGGGAGATTTCACTTGAATAATAACCTCAAAGAATCTAGGCCACAGATCAAAACGGGTTGCCCATGAACTGAATGTGGCCATGAGACAGATTTTATTTGGCATAAACAATAGGGTGTTTTTTGTTTTGTTTTCTTAAAAGGGAGGCAGATTCTCTGATACTAGTGTAATTATACTTGTCAGTTATTTTCTGGGACAAATCTTGGGTTTTATGTCTGTTGTACTGCTGTACTGATGTAATTATTAATTAATACCCCTCTCGCTCTCAAAAATGACTCAAGTTGGAAAATAAATTATATTAGTATCTGTCCTAAAATAAGTTGGATTATCATCAGAAACAAATCTTCCAACCCATTCTGGGCAACCCAAACCTCTGCAAATTGTTGATCCATGAAAATGTGAAAAAACAACTAGTTGATCTGGAAAATTGAAAACTTAAAAAGCTTTATGTATTTTATATTAGTATTGCACCCCTAAAGTATGCAGTATTCGGCTCCTAGGGGTAAGGCAAGAGGAATTGAAATTTTACTCATGTAATAATCACATTATTGAACTAGTAGATAACCTGTTGATATGTTATTTTATTTTGCAGGAAAATACTTGGCAGATAACTGATAAAATCTTATGCAAGGATTTGGAGGATTCATATAGTGAAGAACTGTTGTAAGACAAACAGGTTTTAATTTTGGTTTGATGAAAACAAACCAATATCTGCACTTGGGATGTATCAGCTAGGAAGTCAGTGACTTTCAGCCATGATTTCCCTCACACAATACCATGATGAGCAGTCCTACAGTATTTACTTCTAGGTGTAATATTGTTAATGGTTTTAAAATGTAATTATTGTATTTGTAAATTGTACTCTCATTCCAGTAAGGCAGTTAGACACTTGAGTTTTAGCATTTTACCATTCCTGAAATGGATGTAATTTAAACTGTGGTATGTAAATTTAATAGTAGTACTGTCGAATGGCACAATGCTTACAGAGGTAGATTGCATTCTGTCAATATATAAAAGTTAAATATAATATTGATAGCTGTCATAAAGGGGGTGCCACATATAAAGAAACTTAAGTGGAACCAGAAAAAAAAAAAGAAACAAACTTACTTTTCTTCAGTCTTTAGTATGTTTTACTCTAGTACTAAATAAAAATTCTATCTTCAAATGTTTAGTGGATTAAATTCATAAATATTTCAGAAAAAAATTCTAAGGTTACAGTATATTCAAAGAAAAGCATTAATTACCACTTTTTAAAAAGCTTTTTTTTCAAACTGCAAATTTCATAAAAATGCAAAATGTGTAAACAGGGCCTCTTATTTTTATAACTTGTGTAAAAAGGGAAAGCAATTCATATTTAAAGTTTAAGTATATTAAATTATAATCAAGAATAAAGAAGATGTTGAAGTCTTAACTACTTCCCCCTCTCTCTACAGTTTAGCAAATATGGAGCTTGCTGAATAGTCAGTGAGATTAAAACCAAAATTGCGATTTTGAGATTTCAAGACTTTCCATAATTGAACTGGTTGACAACTTTTGCACAATTGCTCTGAGCACATGGTCTCTCTCATCTTGCATGAGGGAATGATACCTTGTGTCTTCCTCTTCACCCACAGAATCAAAACACTGAGACTAAGAATCTTAGAGGAAAAAAAAATTTAGTCCCCTGTTTAGATCTAGAAGGAGAATTTTAATCATCATTTATATCATTTGGGAAAGAAAAAATAAGCTTTATAAATGAAATTCTATTCACATTATTGTGTAATAGATTTCCTTTTGGATGATTAAGATTCATTGTATAAAACTGTAAATCTTTGCCTTTCTTGGAGAATCAAGAGGAGAGTTATCAAAAATTTATGTCATTTCATTGTTGCAAGATATAATGAAAATTGTAATCACTCAGTGTAGCCCCATGATATGAGCATTCAGAGAGAACTTCCTCAGGAGTCTCAACTCTAAAAACCTTCCCCCATTAAGATCTGAAAACATTAGTCTTCCGTTAAGTCACAGAACTTATTTTAAACATAAACCAATTCCTGTTATAGGTTACACTAGTACATAACTATAATTATTAAGTTGTTATATTTATCATTAGTTGCTAAATTTCGTTTTATATACACTCAAATTTGACAAAGAATCTTTAGCCCCTCTAAATTTTAGAATCAAATTAAATTTTTTAAGTCTTACTTTTAAAATGAGATTGTGACTGGCAATTGTTTATAGTGGAACTTTTTAAATTAACATTTGTACTCTTCAATCAGTTCTTGCTATGTTCAAAATGACCTGTTTTACCTTGGTAGAATTTTTACCATTCAAACAAACTCTCAGTTAGCTCCCCAAAGCAGTCTAGTGTTGAAGTTTTTTTGAACAAATTAATAAACTCATTTTATGTGAAGATATTCAATTTGGTTTTGGAACCAAAGTAGAAAATGCAAAATTTTAAATTCCATGAAACATGGGGAAATTTGGAACACTAAAACCAGTGGAGAGTAAGCAGAAGATAATTGAGAATTATCCAGCATATGAATATCAAAATGTGTTTTAAGTAATCAGTTCATGAAAAAACGTAATGAATATTAACATAAAGCATATTAAAAATGTGTAAATATGACTGGTTCTCATGTCTTTCTCTATTTTATTTTGTTTTGTTTTATATAGCTCTAGAATGAATCATTAATTAAATACAAGGTTTTTTCCCCAAAGAATAATTTTGTTGATATTGTAAAAATGTAATTAAAACCATAGATTACAATAATCTCTAACATTATCCAAATGTTTCCAGGAACTAAATTTGAAACTATGAAGAAATCCTATGATCCCTTAATTGTTCTTTATGAAACAGAATGGGTGTTAGTGATTTCAAAGTGATTAGACTTTAAGTAGCCAGAACTTCAGTAGGGAATGTATCCTTCACCTTTCGGAAAAGAAATCAAATGTTATAATAACATAATAAGCCTGAATCAGGGATTTAGATTTTGGTGTTTTGTTTTGTTTTTTAATATTATAGGTTATAATCTCCCATGACATCTATATCCACAGTACTGTAGAATAAGAATTCATGTTCTGAAAAATGGTCCTACACAATGGAAGGGTCTCAGTTATCAACGACATATTAAGTCAGATTCACTGTCAGTTCTCAAGTCAGCACAAAATAGACCAGTGCAGAGTAAGACAATTTTCAGTACCAGGGATTAAAATAAAAAGAAAGCGTTCTAGTTAACCAGAACACCATTTCCTGAACATAATAATTAACAAGGTTCTGCTTTAGCAAGATGGAAAGCATGGTTGATACTGCTTTATTTTGGCAACATGGAAAGTATATTTTTGTTTTGTTGTGTTTTTTTTGAGACAGAGTCTCACTCTGTTGCCCGGGCTAGAGTGTCGTGGCATCAACCTAGCTCACAGCAACCTCAAACTCCTGGGCTCAAGCAATCCTTCTGTCTCAGCCTCTCGAGTAGCTGGGACTACAGGCATGTGCCACCATGCCTGGCTAATTTTTTACTATATATTTTTAGTTGGCCAATTACTTTCTTTCTGTTTTTAGTAGAGGCGGGGTCTCGCTCTTGCTCAGGCTGGTTTCCAATTCCTGACCTTGAGCAATCCTCCCACCTCTGCCTCCCAGAGTGCTAGGATTATAGGTGTAAGTCATCACGCCTGGCCTGAAAGTATGTTTTTCTTTTCAAATAAATTCCCTATTTTCATGAAACTTATAAAAATAAATTCTTATTAAGAATTAGTCTGAATTTTATCATAATTGGACTTTAGAATTGCTAAGCTTAAATTTTTAATCATTTTTAAATCTCTGTTCTTCTCTACACTTACAGCCAAAATGAAGATTCACTGTATGGTATTTGATATGGTATTTCACCTGTAAAGAAAGGATGTCCACAGTTCTGATGGTTTTGCATGAATAGATAGGCATCACTCAAACAACAGAATTTTTCGTTTGTCTTATGTATTTTTATTCAGTCTCAGTCTGCAAAATGAGGCCATAATTCCATTTCTATTTCCACTTCTAAATCTTTTCAAGGAAGCAGATGACTACATTAGCACTACCACTAACTCCTGCTGTGTGACAGTGAGCAAGTCACTGCCTTTTTCAACATCTCATCTTCAGAATGAGGGACTAAGAGCAACAGTGGTGTTCAAGCTTTTCTTGACAACAGGATTTTTTTCCTAATAAAATCAATTTTATTAGGCACAACAGCTCAAAGCAATGAAGTAATTTCTCCAGCAGTTTGCAACTGAGCAGTTTAAACACCATAACAACACAAAAATGATCTATAGTGTCCTCCAACTCTGAAGTTCCATGATTCTACTTTACTCAGATAAACCACTTTTTGAGACTTTATGAGGAAAGTTGTATAATCACAGTAAATGATATATAATACAAATTGATATATTAAATATTTAATTGATATATAAAATGCTCACCATGTACCAGTCACTACAGATAGTATAAGGATTTAGTCCTTTTATCAATCCAAAAATTGTAGGTACGCTTTTTAATTCCTGTTTTACAAATGATGACATTGAGGCTTAGATAGATTAATCTTCCCAAAGTGACACTGCAGCTGGAAGTAACCCAGTTATCTTGACTGTAAAGGGAACAGCTTGATCTGTTTTACTTTGTCCATTCTGGAAAAAAAAATCTTCTGTTTTATTCTATGGTATACACTCTATGTGAATGCCAAGGTAATAGGTGCAATGAAAAACTAATAGCAAAATAAGGATAATTCTGATGACAAAATCATGGAAAAAGAATCAGTATGATTTGTGGACCATTGTATTGTTAAAAGAGGGCAATGATTTTGGCTTAGTTACTACACTATCCCCAGGGCCTAGAAGGTAGTAGGCATTGATAAATTTATATTGAATCAGTAGATTTCTAGGGATGGGACTTGGGAATATGTATTTTTAGAAACACTCAAAATTTGAGAATCATGATCTATTAGATCTCTATGGTTCTTCTTTGTTCTGACATTATATCATATTTTAAGCATTCAATTCTAAGTTGAAAACCATTTTTCTAGTGAGTTTACTTTTCATTCAGTCTACTTACTCGAAGCTTATAAAAAGGGTTTATTCCTAGGAAGATCTCTATCTTTTCCTTGGAGTTCTTCTGTTAATGCTAACTCAGTCTAGGAGTAGCCTGAAAGGCATTCTCTCATATTTCTGTCCTTTTCTTCAATGTCTTAAAAGACTTTAAGTAGTAGGGAGGTTGCAAGCTGTCACTCCTTCCAAATACAAAGTCCTTCTTTGCAAGGGACACTCAGACCTCTAACTTGTGAGTTGACCCTATTTAATCTGGGAGACTTTTGACTTTACAAGTATGGATCGGCCTCATTCTAAAAGAGTTGTACCAATCATCTTTATTTTTGCATATTTTCAAAATAATCACAGGCTGTCAATTAAAGTTGAACAATACAGTAAAATATGCAGATTAATGTGTGTGTGTGTGTGTGTGTGTGTGTGTCTAGGTTTAAACTTTGTCTTTCCCAAAAGATTACGCATTTGAGCAAAATCCCATTCAGTCTAAATGAACTCATTTTGCCACATGCTTTTGTAATCAGCAATTTTTTTAAATAGAAGCATGATGTTTTAATAATATCAAAATGAGAGTGATCTCTAAATATAGTTTTAAAAGTTAATATAACTAAATATGATGTTTCTGTGCAATGAGTCAAATTAAATTGTTGCTCTGAGTGAATAAATCAATCCAAGTTACATTGATTAAAGAGGCTATTCTATGCCCCACTCCACCACCCTTTACTGTGTGCACTTTCTCTTGAGGCTTTATAGTATTTTTCCTACTTATTTAGGGTGTTTTTTTTAAATTGGGCAAACAGTATCTAAATGCCATTCTCTCACTCATGAATTATATATGGCCACTATTATATTACTTTTTGTCCATGGAGTGTATGGAATAAAAATGAGATAGGGGTACATTGCTTAAGTCTCTAAATATTAAAAAAATGAAAAAAATGTTGTCTTTCTCTTGTGTCAGTGCTTCGATGTTCTATCATCTTCTGCAAACTGGAGTTGCATTTTTAATATTTAATTAAAAATATAAATATCTTTCTTGAAGGAATGTCAAATTTAAAGTATGTGGAGTTGACCACTGTGAGACTTCTTGATTGGTCTTCATGTTTAAAATCTGATTTCTATCCTATATGGGTATGCCTATGAAAAAGAAGCACCTCTTTGTTGACATTCACCATGGGCATAATAATTTATCCTCCACGTTTAACTTCTAAAGCTATTTTTCCTTTTATTTATAGTATTTCTGATTATTTCCTTCTATCCCTAGAATAGTACATTGCCTGTCCTAACTCTACCTTTAACTTTGAAAACAAAAGGTGCTTCAACAAAAAGCAAATGCATTTTTAAATGGCCCTTTAAAGTAAAGAAGCAAAATATATTTGGACTGTAGTTATCAATATTCCAGCATTTTCCAAGTCAAGTCTAGTAGTTCTGGCAAATGTTCATTGTGGTATGAAAACAAATGGTCCTATACTATAATCCTCACTCCATGAACATTAATAATGAATGTGAATGCTTTGATGAAGCTTAGTAAAGTTATTGGATCAGGAAAAGACTAAGCTCACCTTGAAAAACCTTTGGAAAAGTTTTCTCTTAACACTAGTTTGTATACCTTTTAGTAACCACAAATAATATAGCCTGGAATGCTTTGGAAAGATGCTTCTGGAATTTTATTTTAACTTTGAGGGAATTTCTGCCATTTCAAATGAATTGTTCTTTATTTTAAATGTCACCTGTGTCTCTTAGTGAATTTAACTTTATCATCTAAAATATTCAAAACAAAACAATGACATTATTTTAATTTTTTAAGTATTATTTTTAAGACCTGCACCTAAGACTAACACATCGGCCCCGATCTGTCTAAGATGTTCCAAAATCTTTGCAGTGTAGAATTAATGCTAGTGAACAATCTTCTGTAATATTTTATTAAACAGCTTTAGGAAATTGAATCATGATAGGTCAATGTTGACAGTATTTTTACATAAGCTTGTTAGAAATTATATGAGAAACATTTTAGTTAAAACTAAGAGCAATGCACTGTTTTATGCAGATTTTGCAAGATTCTACACTCTTCTAATGAGCCTTTTACATTTTTTTTTGCTTTGCTTTATTTTGCAAATCAGTTCTTTTTATGCAAAATCAACAATGTTCCTTTAAAAACTTCCTGGGTAAATTTTCTGTTATCAGATAGAAAAGAATAAAGCTGAATCACTTTACATTTCTCTACTATAGTTTAATTTTTAATTCATTCAGTTTGTGACTCAGCCTGATAGATCCTAAGCCATTTATAATTTTAAAATGTTCCATTGAATGAGAATACCATGCAAATGTTAATTTCATCTCCCTCATTCAGTTTTATATTCCTTTGGTGACATTTTTTTTCTGGCAAAATAAATGCTTAATGTTATTCATACATCACTTTAAACTATTTTAAATAACACACCAAATAATTATCACAGGGATCACTGTCCCAAGATCCAAATTTAATTTTTTTCTTTTCCTTAAGAGTTGCTAGGATGAAAATTCTTGCACCTCTGCTGATTTTTCAGGATGGTATTTAGTTCTTGCTTTCTTAAATGGATATTCTTAGATAGATTGGTTCCTGTCTGATATTCTCTCTCTCTTTCTCTGTCTAACAGAATTGGAAAATTGTTGCTGAATAATTTTTCTTGAAAAAGCTAAGCATATGATGATGTGCTAATCTTATCTATGAGTAGAACTTCACTATGGGCCAAGCAGTAATTTATAGGGCTGGCTTTTTAAGCTGTTTGAAATGTGTTTCAAGTAAAAAGAATTTTCATTTGTTTTTCACTTGTATAGTAAAATATCTGTATAAATGAAATGGTCAAATTTTAATTTTAATGTTAATTCCTACTAAATGGCAATGTAAAACATTGATTTTTTTTTAACTTGTACTTTAACAATAAGAGAAACTAGGAAAGGAAGCTCAGAGAAATTTCGCTGTGTTTCTAAAAGTAATGAAATTCCATCAACTAAGGAAAATGCTGTCAGTGTGCAATTAGATTTGGTGGTAGCCTTTCTCTCTTGTGATCTGTGTAGCAAAAGTAGACTAAATTTCTTTATAATCTTGTACTGAGTATATAATTTCACAAAATACCTTGGTCATTAAATATTCATAAAAGGAACTGTGGATTAAAATACACAAGATACTTTTTCAATTTAGTCAAAATGTTGGTGCCTGGCCTTTTTTCCTACATGTCCAATTCGATAGAGTATATACTTGATTTTGATAGCTGTTACTGCTTAGTCTGTGATGAAAGCTTTATTTCTTCTATGCTGTGCTCAAGAGAAAACCAGCAAAAGAAGCAAAGATTTGTTCTTTCATAGAACTGTGGCAAAGCTCTCTGCTGAGCAATGGTGATACAAATGTGGGGCATTGACTCGTTGAAGATAATCTTGAAACCATCTTAACATTAATTGCCTTATAAGTTAAAAAAAAAGGTATGGATATCACTTTTTTGTAAATAATGATTTTTATAAATGTTTTTTCTTCATAATTTTCCCAATCACCCATTTCACAAAATCCTAAATATGCAATTATCACCATGGCACATTACTGCGTCTGGGGTTCCCATTTCAGAACAAAGTTTAATTCTATATGTGAGTAAGTTGTTATTGAAATGTGATTTTTTTTTCCTGGAAAATAAATGAAAAATATTGAAAAAAATGAGCCGTGAACCTCTTTTTTTTTTTGTCAGATTCTGAAAAGTTTACCCACATTTCTGGAAAATTTCATTGACTGTGTAGGGTGGGGACGACGGACCAAAAATCTGGCGACCGTCAAGGGCTTTAGAGCGCGACAAATCCCAGCTCTGTAATTTAACTACAGGCCTGAGCATGTTACTCAATGATTCTCCATTTCCTTATCTTTTTTTAAAAAAAAATATGGAGTAACGTCCCCTATATCATACAGTCATTGAACAGATTAAATGAGATACTTTCAGCAGTCACCTAGCAATTCTTACCTGGTTCGTAGTTGATATTCAATCAACAATCCTTTCCTGTTCTCATCTTTCTGTGAATGAGGATTGGGATGGATGGAAAACTTTAATGCTCTTCTCCTCACGCTGTCCTAACACTGCGCTCTACTGTGATCGCTGTGTATTACTATGTCGGCTGGGGCAGGTGCCTGGAGGCCATACCTGACTTTCATCCCCAATGATTGCCCCTAAAGGGTTTCTTTTGTTTGTTTTTGGTTTGAGAAGGACCAACGGGTTTAGGAAGGGGTTAGTTACTAAGGTGGAGGAAGGGCCTATTATTAATAGTTATGGCAGGTAGTAGGTCCTCAACCCTAAACGGTCTCCATTTCAGAGCTGGGAAAAGTCGGGTTGAGGAAGGTGAGGGAGCCCAGCCCGGTTTGTGACGCCCAGGAGTGAAGACCATGAGCTCAGGGGGCCCCCAGGCCTATTATTTAGCATCTTAGCAACTCAGTTTTCCAAATGTGTAAACGGAGAACAATCCTTTCTTGACAAGAGTTGTTGGGGCAACTGGATCAAACTAAACCGGTTGTCAGTATCTGGCGAATGCAAGCGCTCCGTCATCCCTGCTATCCACCGTGGGTGCCTTGGAGGGGAGAGGTGGAAAGCGTGGAGGAGGGGGCTGCTTTACTTTCTCTTTGTGCCTCGGATTTCCTGTCCCAGGGAACCGCTGCACTTCCCCCTGCTGCCCTGACGCCAGCGAGAAAAGAGACCTGAGGAAGGACCCTCGGGGCTGCATCTTTAGCCCCCAGCGTCCCGCTCGATTTAGAACACAGCGGCTCCCCTGCAGCTCGCCGCCACCCAGGGCGCCGCGGGGCTCAGGGCGGCCCTCTGCAGGCAGCGAGGGAGAGATCCTTTGCATCCTCACAGCAGCTCAGAGGACCACATAGCGGCCAAGGGCGGCCGGGGCGGGCCGAGAGCGCTGTTTCAAGTCGCCCTGGAGACCGGCGGCGGGGTGCGGGGGTGCGCGGGCCGCGGGCAGAGGAGGCCGGGCAGGCGCGAGCCGCGCGGCGCGCCCTGTCCGCAGTGGAGGAGCCCGCGGTCCGGAGGCCCCGCCGCCCCAGCCCTGCTGCAGGTGAGGGCGCTCGCTCCCGAGTGCGCCGGGGGCCGAAGGGACGAGAGGGAGCTGGGAAGGGAGCGGCCCTGCGATCTCTCCGCCGCCTTACTCCTCTTGCAAATAAGAAAAAGTGACCCGAAATTTGGGAACTGGAAGTGGGCCTCGGCCTTGGGTCCACGCCCCCTCCCCAAGTGGCTGAGCCGGCCAGCACGGCCACCCGCTGGAGCCGGAGCAGCGAGGGTCCTGGGAGGCGCGGTCTTCCTGCGGCTGGCCGCGCCCTGGGCACCTCCAGGTTCCAACTCCGGCCTTTCTGGCGAGGAAGGCAGCCTGCTGAGAAGCTTTGGGAACAGCCGCAGCCAACGTCTGCGTGTCTTTAGAACAGGACCTCAGGGACCCGCTTAATCAGGCTCAGTGAGTCTCTTTCCACACTCACAGACACACTCGCCCTCATACACACACACACACAGACACACACAAAGGGATGCTCACACTCACGTACACACACACAGACACACAATCACACACATTCACACCACACGGCCTCCCTCTCCAACACACAGTGCCTCTGTCCTGACACTGGGTTTTAGGGTGTGCTGTCTTCCCTACCCCCTCAACTGCCAGCTCTTTGAAGGCAGGGACTGTATATCAGTTCTATGTGTTAGTGTCTAGCAGAGTGTCCCCTGGTTAGGGCTCTCAGATTTACAGACTATGAAATAATTTTAACAATTTTAACTATATCTTCAGGGACATAAAAAGAGAGACAATGGGCAACTACAAGGTTCAGGTCGTCTTTTGGAGCCATAGTAAAAAAACGAGAGAGACAAAGTTTAAGTGTTACATTGATGCTAGCAGCATTTTTCCTATTCCAAAGACTACTCAAAAAAATCCTCTACTCAGAAGAAATTCTGTGTACAATTTAGACCAGCTACCCTTATAGTTTATATGTCTCTTGAATTCTTCTGCTCAAAATTATATAACTACATAATTTTTTGCATTGTTGTGATCAACATATACAATGCACTTAACATTATATCACACAAACTTTGTAATGTAGTTTTATAGTCTTTGTTCATATCCTTTTATGGCTATATAATATTTTATCAATTTATAATTCTGGGTTACTTAACCTTCTTCAATTATTGGGCATTTTAAGTTTGTTTCCACTTTTTTCAGATACCTAAATCTGTAGGTAGGCAGTGAGAGCACTAGAGTTATAGTCTAAGTTCTGGGAAGTCCATGGCTGCCACCAGCTTTTAAACAAGCATTTGTGAGAAGGGGGGTGGGGTTTCCAGTAAATTACTTTTATAAAAGTTAAGTCCTATTTGCTCTTTACAAAGTAAATAACTGTTGCTTGAAGAAAAAAAAAAGCTTTTGGGGAAGATGATTCATTTAATATAAAAGTAACAGTGACGACAACAATATTCATTAGCAAATTTGTCTAGAAAAACGGGAGGTCAATAAAAAACAAACAAACACTGGTTTCTGGTGTGGGACAGTATTACACATGGGTTATCTCGTCTCAGTGAACTTCTCCCTTTTCACCAGTTAAGCATTCTTGCTATAGTTTAATCTCTGCTTATGTGAGTAAAGTATATTATTGCATAAACAAACGTTTTCACAGTTATTATTTCCAGCTATATTGCAGAATAACATGATATCTATTGCTCTTGAGGAAACCCCACTTCCTGGGGTTCAAAAATGGTAGAAAAAGCATCTGTACTTTATTTGGGTCTCTGTTGTATTAACTATTTCTGATCTCTCTTTTGCTATTTCACAAAAGTCTTTTTCCCAGGTTATGATGATGTCGGACATTGCTAAAAACCCAGTGGCTCATTCCCGGAAGAAAAGGGGGAGTGTGTCTTCACTCAGTAGCCATGAGTTCCAGAGGAGGGAAATTCATGGGCGCACTAAAGAGTGAGTAACTGAATGTCTAATAATTTAAATTGAATTATTGAATAAACAGGTTCATGTCAAGAAGAAAAAAACATATCTTCAGGGACATAGAAAGAGAGACAATGGGCAACTACAAGGTTCAGGTCGTCTTTTGGAGCCATAGTAAAAACGAGAGAGACAAAGTTTAAGTGTTACGTTGATGCTAGCAGCATTTTTCCTATTCCAAAGACTACTCAAAAAAATCCTCTATTCAGAAGAAATGCTGTGTACAATTTAGACCAGCTACCCTTATAGTTTATATGTCTCTTGAATTCTTCTGCTCAATATTATATAACTACATAATTTTTTGCATTGTTGTGATCAACATATACATATACAATGCACTTAACATTATATCACACAAACTTTGTAATGTAGTTTTATAGTCTTTGTTCATATCCTTTTATGGCTATATAATATTTTATCAATTTATAATTCTGGGTTACTTAACCTTCTTCAATTATTGGGCATTTTAAGTTTGTTTCCACTTTTTTTCCTTTTCACTATATAATAAGTCTCTGCTCAGTTTCTTCCTAGAAGTATAGTTAGTGGTTTTTATGGCTCTTGCTACGTATTGCATTTGCTCTCCTAAAAAGATGTATTAATTTTAATATTTTCATGGCATTTCTTTTTGACTGCTATTGGGATGAAAACAAAACAGATTATCTGATGTAGCAGTCAATTAATTTATATAATAAACTTTACTTCGTAACAGTTTCCATGGGAGTGAAGGTTGTGTATGTTGAGTATGTATCAAGAAGCAGGAGCTTATGTGTCCCATAGAACAGTGATTAGAAGATCTGGAATAATTAGAATTCTGAAACCCAAACTTTTCTATTCTGAGTGCATTAATGTACTTACTTACAATTCCACTTTCTAGTCCTGGGAGTTTGCAGATTACAAGTACAATGTCCCTCTCTTACAGATGGGAAACTGAATGTAAAGGAATAGCAATCCCAGCATATGTCAGAAACAAAGGTGAGAGAATAACTAATCTCTGTAACTTTTGCTTCTGACCCATTCTGGCTGCTATTTCCAATAGTTAAATGTTTGAATTATTTTCTAAATTATTTAAAAATAATTGTTAGCTTGAATTCAACTTACTTTTTTCAAGAAACTATAACAATAATCTGACATAATTTCTATCTCCATGATCTTGAAAAAAAACTCTCATCCAAAGACTAACATATCATCCCTATTTGCATGATTTTCATTTACTTCTTCCCTTTCAAAACAAATTAGAGTCATATAGAATCAGAGCTCAGCCAAGTTTGAAAAATTAGAGATTGCTCTGTTTTAACTTATTATTGATGAGGTATAAATACATATTAAAAGTAACAAGATGACAAACATCATTTTTACCAATACATTAGAATAAATTTTTCACTAATAACTACATTTAAGTGATAATTATTTTGGTTTTGGACTCTGAAACGAAAGATTAGAACAGATTCTCTATTTGCAGTATTTTCTTAAATAGCAAATGAGCACCTTCCAAGTCCCCTTGTAATGCAGAGACTATTTGGCAGGCTGCTTCCCCACCTTGAACTTGTACTTGCTTTCTTTCCATGGTCTTCCTCACTGTCTAGAATTAGACAGCATGAGTGATTCTCCTTCACGAGTAAGTCTTCAAATAGAAAAATTCTGAAAGGTTAGTGTCTATCAAATGTAGGCATCATTTTGAAATTGCACTGTTCTATGGAAAAACATGTACTTTTCATTTGAAAATTTTTAAAACAATTTCTGAAAACATAAATTTCAACAGTATAAAGCATATTCTGAAGTATATTGAGGACCTAATACATTTTTTTCATTTACTCTCTCTAGTATTAATCCTACTAAGTGAACATTATTTCTACCATTTTATTATGAAATAACTGAGGCTTACAGATTAAGTAACTTGATTTAATGACTAGGATACAGTTCCATGAGTATGGTGTATGGCACAGTATGGTGTATGTCCACAGACCCCTGCCTACTTCCATAGCACCATCTTCCTCACCCTCCGGCTTGCATCCCACCCTCTAGCCATACTCAGTGATTCTTAGTGCTCTGTTTGGCCTCCAGGTATTGCCCCATGTTGCTTCCCTATGGGGACCTCCATTTCTTGCCTGGAATGCTCTTCTGACACTGTTCCACTAGCCTTCTTCTCCTCTTCCTTCAGAATGTAGCCCCATGTCCACTTCTCCAGGAAGCTCTCTCTAATTATCCAACTGTAACCACCTGTACCTCCAAACTAAGTCGGATGCTCTTTCTTTCTTCTCCCACTGCTTTCCCCTTATGTGTGGACCTGTATTTTGTGATTTTCCTGTCTATCTTCCCCAAAACAATGTGTGCTTATTTGCCTTTTGGCTGGTAATGACTACTGCACTCAAGCCTGGCCAACAGAGTGAGACTCTGTCTCCAAAAAAAAAAAAGTTGCTTTTGGGGTATAGTGTAAGCTCAGCATAGGTTTAGCCCTACAGTCTTGGTTTTCATGTCTGCAGTCTTCTACAGCTGTAACTAATGCTTAACGGTGATCACCAGACATAATAAATATCTGAAGTGCCTTCTGAATTGTGAAAAGAAGAATGAATTTATATTAAATATTATTATCATGAGCTGTTTTCAGGATGGGGTCTTTTTATTTAGGTTATGTTTTCAATTAAATGTAATTTTTATGTTTCATTAAAGAAAAAAGAAGAAGCATCTCAAGTTCAATCTTTTCCTAACATCATAACTGTTAGCATGTTGGCATACTTCTTTTAGACCCACGCATACATATTTTAGATCTGTACTATCTGACTCTAGACCATGAACTACATAGACGTAATCATACTTTATATGTAATTTTGAATTTTGCTTGGTTTTCATTTAAATAACGTACAGCAATAAGGATGGTAATTGCTAACATTTATTGAGCCCTTACCATGAACCTCATTTATGCCTCACAGAAGCTCTATAACAGGGGTTGACAAACCATGGCCAAAGGGCCAAGTCCAGTCTGCCACCTGTTTCCATATGGTTCTCTAGCTAAGTGTGGTTTTTACATAGTTGAAAAAACTTAAAAAAAGAGCAATATTTTGTGGCATGTAAAAATTATAAGAAATTCAAATTTCAGTATCCATAAATAAAGTTTGTTAGGACACAACCATGCCTTTTCAATTATGTGTTCCCTCTGGCTGCTTTCACACTACAGTGGAAAAGGTGAGTAGTTGCAATCGAAATCATGGCGCCTGCAAAGTAAAAACTACCTGCTATTTGGCCTTTTACAGAAATATTTGCTGATTCCTGATCAATAAAGGTAGATTTTATTATCATCCCCATTTTACCAATGAAAAAACAGAAGCTTAGAGGATTCCAGGCTCCAAAGCGACAGAATTAGCAAGTAGCAAAATGGGCTTTTGTTTATTGGTCAAGTATTTTCATTCCCTGAAGACTGGCAAACCATGTGTAATTTGCATTAGTAAAACTATTCTCTTCATCCGTCAGAACCTTCTGTTTCCCATCTATGGGTAAGAGCAGGTATTTACAATGACATCTTTCTTGGTGGAAGCTCAGCTTCTGGCAGACATTGCACAGTGTTTGAACAGATGTGCCTGTCTCATGTTCTTAACACGGGAACAGAAACCTTGAGGTCAAGTTACTTTCCCAGGATAATGTGACACAATACTCAGGCTTATTATGTCTGAGGCCAGTAGTTAAACTAGTAGGTCAGAGCTAAGTAAGGTTGGGGACTGAAGATTCTTGCTTCCACCTCAGCCAAAATTACAGTGATGTCATGTTACCAGAACTTTCTGGATGGAGCCCACAGCTCTCCACTTGACCTCACTGATGGCACCTAACACACTGTCAGACCACACTATATGGGGTCCTTTCACTTATTCACTTATTCATTTATTTATCGAGCTTCTACTGTGTGCCAATTATTGTGTCACATGTTAGGCATATAAAAGGGAATCACTGCAGGGTTCTAACCTAGAGAAGTTCATTTGTCCAGGAAACTGAGAGCCACCTGGTAACTTCTTTTTCAGAGTAGGCTAAGTCTTTCCTGTAAAAGTGACCAAAATGGAAAGGATTCTGTTCATTACTTCTTTTGAAGTATCTGTTGAGAAAAGAGTACATTCTAGGCGTTACGCTAGGTAGAAAATCACCCAGAAATAATCCCTGCTCTTGTGGAGTTTATAATCAAGTGGGAAACACAGTGAACAAGTAATTTTAAATGTGATGAATTTGTTCTGTGATTCAAACCTATACCACCGTACACCGGCAGTTAAAAATGATGCTGCCAGACCTGTTTCCTCACTTTGATCCCTGAGGGAGAAGGCTAGGGATTAGAAGATCAGAGCTAAGAGATAAGTTATATCGCCGTCTACATCAAACGGAAGCCCCCTACAGGATCTGGGTGAGATACAGCTTCCCCCACAAAGAGAAAAGGCTTGGGGAAACTGAAATGGCCATGTCCCCAAATTAAATGATAGCCAATACTGTATTGTATTTTATAGGCTATTAAGGCATTTCACATGCAATATCCATGTGCTTCTCATAAAAACTCTGTAGGTTAGAGAAGATATTTTTATTATCCCCATTGATTTTTATAAATGGAGAAATGATGGACTTTTTGATAGATTGTGTTGGGAGAAAACTGGCTCACTATATGGAGGAAAATGAAGCTGTATAGGTAAACTCCAGATGGAAGATGGAAATGTGGAAAGCTATGAAGCTAATAGAATAAAGCATAGAAAACTGTCTTTGTGTTCTAAGAGTAGGGAAAGATTTCTTAAGTAAGATCTCAGAGTGAAAAAGCAAAAAATGTTTAATAAATATTACTGCAATGAAATGTAGCATTTCTATTCAACAAAGGATATATTAGACACAGTTAACAGGTTGATAAAAATATATATACTTTAAAATCTTGCATGTTAACAATAAAAAAACAGAAAAACAATTTTTAAAATAGTCAAAAGAGATAGCAATTTACAGAAGCAAAGCCCAAATGGCTA